GCCGGGATGGAGTGAGGGGGCGAGCGGCGGAGAGAGCGCAGCCCACCGAGCTCCGGCCCCCTCCCCCCTTTCTCTCTCTGGCCCGGGCCTATGCGGCCCCCCAGAGACCATGGGATCCAGGATCAAGTGAGTGCCCCCCGGAGCTCTCCAGCCCCGCTTGCAGGCCCTCAGGAAAGCGGGAGGGCTCTGGAGAGCGAGAAGGGGACTTCCCCGCCCTCCTTCCAGCTCCCTGTGAGGCCGCGCGGGCGAGACCCCGGCCGAGCCTACAGGCCTCGGGATCGGGCGAGAAAGAGGGGGAGAAAGAAGGGGGAAGAGTGCTTCCCACCCCCCCAGGCCAGCTCGCGGGCCGGGGAGGGAGGAGGCTGCAGGGCAGAGGGCCCCATGCCGTCAAACCCCAAATCAGCGGCAGGACCCCGGGGCGGGGAGCTCCCCGTCCCCCCTGCCCTGAGGAGGAGAGGAGAGTATCGTTTCCCGCCCTCAAGCCCAAACCTGGTCTGTTGTCTACTCTCTCTCTCTCTCTCTCTCTCCCTGTCTTAAGTTCTCCGTGTGGTAGCGCATAGGGCCAGGCTGTGAGGGCAGTTTGAATTTTATCGGTGCAGGCCGTAAGGAGGATTGGGGCTGCTGGAATGGGAAAGTCTTCATTGCCAGCACCGGTGACGTCTGTTTTGGGGGTGTGGTGGGGTCGAGAGAGTTCAAAGCCTCCTTGCCTAGGTTAGAGTGTGCTAAAGTAAGGATGGATAGTCTAGCTATGATATCTTGAAAGTGCATTAGCAAGGGGCTTTGGGGGAAGGCGAAGAGCAGTGCAAGTGATTAATGTGTTGGGTCTGCAGCTCCGTGCCCTCAATATTTTTTTTAATTTTGATAAAACTGGGGGTTGATTTATTGGTAAGCCCTGTTGGTATGTTTGGTATTGTCGCTTTAAAGATCTCAGTTCATTCATATGCCATTCCAGGCAAATTCAGTTCCTCTGAGACAGGTAGAGGTGTAATAAAGCCATCGCCAAGCAGGGAGTGCTGACATCTTTGTCCATGAAAGGTCTGATAGAGTGGAGAGATCCAGTTAGATTGTATTTTACTCAGTACTTTCAGTAGGTGCTGCTGAGCAATTGCTTTTCCTTCTTGAACACAGTGTTCTTCAAGATTACATAGGGCTTTAACTTTTCACCTCTTTTGTTTAACTTGAATATGAGACTGGAGGAGACATAGTTTGTAGTGTCCTTAGTGTGATGACACATCTTCATGTTCCCAAGCCCATAGGCTGGATAGACATAAATGTGTGTCTCTTCAGCCAGGTGTTTTAGGAAAATGTAAGTGAATAATGAGTGCTTTTAATGATAGCACTGAGGTGATTGGTTGGTTCCAGAAAGCAACCTTCCTTCTTTGGGAGATACTGTGGGGATAATTTTTCCACTTTTTTTGGTATATGGGTTCTCAACTGTTGCTACAAAAAATCAAAGTCTGAGAAACTAGTTAAACTCTTAGCTTACATTCAAATACAGGTAGAATCTAACATTGTTACTATTTTGACAGCAGAGCAGGCTATATCTGTAACCTGCACCTTCAGATCTTGCAGTGGTCACCCTTGCTTGGGTCACTTCAAGATTACGATCTGAAATTACTTCTTATGATGACCTTATCTTAAATCTATTAAAAGGCTGATGCTCACTTAAAATGTAGTTTCTTTTGTGTACATATCTGAATCCACAAGCTGTGTTTACCATCTTTGGGTTTTTGATTGCTAATTTGACTTTGCATACATTTTGCTGAATGTGAATGTAATCACTCAGATAAGATGCTTCAACTGGAAGCCTCACTGGTATCAGTGAGGAGATGTAGCAGTTAGAAGTATTTATTACAGCCAATGGACCTTAGGGCTTTTTCTGTGCAATCTTTCAAGATTACAGACGAAGCCCAAAGTCTGTCTCTGTCACCAGGAAAACACAGGTGATAACCCCATATAACCATTACTTTTCATTCCTCTTGGACTTTGTGAGAAAGCATTTTGGCTGTTGTATGATTAAGCAACTTTGCCTTGAGCAACAATTAATAAATTGCTTTTTTCCACTTCGGACAGAACACTATGCCCAAGTAGAGTAAGGACAAAATTTCAAAACAATCTTGAAATATGTAAAGAATGAGAGAGCCTATCTGAGTAAGAGGCTCTTCTGCTCTGCTATTCTGAGCTGGATGTTTAAACCAGCAAAGATTTTCAAGTTGATAAGTAGCTCCCTTACTGGGGCAGGTGGGAGCGTGAATGAGAACTATTTTATAATTTGGTATACTGAGGCATGCCTCCTTTAGTGGCATCGCCAATATGTGTTGGAGCCCTAGCAAAAATCCAGTAGTCAGATCTCTTGCTTCTTGCTATAGATTGATAATTATGAGGGATATTAAACTCCTTGGCACATGATCACTTGCACACACTGTGATATACTCTGCATGAAACCTGGAGATATGTGTCAGTTATATTTTTGATGGATGTATAGTAATGAGTCATTTGAGTGAAAGATTGCTTAGAGGAAAGTAGCTGCATCAGACTGAAGTGAAAGAAATCAAGAAGTTGCCAGCAATCCTGTAAGCTTTTGGCTTGTGTATAGCTGCAGGCGGAAAAAGGTAAATTGAGTATTGGGTTACACTGTTGGATTAAGCTTGGTGTTGGAGCATGTCATATGGTACATGCAAGGCACTCTGTGCCAGTGAGGTAATGTAAAATAGAAATCTAGTTAACCTGGCTGCTATCACTACTTGGTAGCCTTCAGTACTCAAGACATTACAAGAGAGAATGGATTTTTTTTTTTTTTTAAATAATGTGTCAATATCAATCTGTTCAACAGAATTGCATTGCACCGTAAAAAAACTTGGCATGTTCCTTTCCAGAGGTGGTTGTATTTCAGTGATGACAGAAGAGATCCCTAATACTAATCTGGGAATGCTTTTGGATATTTAACATAAAGTTTGCTATATACTGAAATGTAATATCTGTTTAGGGAATACCAGGCAGAAAAAGTTAAATATTTGGAAATTAATCAGGGATTGAGGTGCAATTTCTGAATTGAATTAGCAATTACAGATTTCTGCTAATAATTTTTTTCTGCAAGAGTTGAGCAACTAGGTCTTGTTACAAGACAACTAATTATCAGTGTCAGGCTCCTCTCTTATGCCTCAGTTTTTAAGTAGAATGATACTTTCTGTCATAAGTGCTATTCAGTTTTCCTATGTGTAGAAAAAAATGCTGCTGACAGAATTGAAATAGGCTTTAGGTATGTAAGGTATGTACTTCCATACATACAGCTTCGGAGAAGGACTTTATTTAATTTTATTCTGTACAAATCTCTTGCAGTTTGGTAAAAACTAATAATTTTGATTGTAAATGTACATAAATATCTTATTTAAGATACTACTTCAATGTAAAATTTAATTTCTTTGCCTTGATACTGAAGCTATTTCTACATCAGAGAGATTTGAAGTAATTCATACAACTAGCATTTATCACAAAAGCATTCTTTTCTCATAGAGCTCCTTCCTAAATTTCTATTTACAGAGAAGTATTGCATTTCCTTCTGAAATTATCCAGTTATCAAGTAGATGGGGTGCTATGTATTTTTGTACGTCCTGTGTATTTTTTTTATTGCATCTGTATGTTCACTTGATAACTGACCATGGATCTTTAAGTGGTTATTGGGAGGAAAGAAAACTGTGTGTGTGTGTTTAAGGTTATAATGTGGTGGATGATTTCAGTGTGTTGAGGTTTCAATACAATGCACAGGTGGCATTAGATGTCTGCAGGGTAGTTTAGTAGTCATAAAAATGGACTGCAAAATATACATATTATGATGCATGTTTATGCTATATTTGCAAACTGTATGAAGTCTCATAGTGACTTGTTTCCTTAATTCCACTGAAAAGTTATAAAATATTCAGAATTCAACAATGACTTCATTCTCATACTGAGGTGTTAGCTTGTTGAATGCAGCCTTTAATAGTAAGTTTCTGACTTGGCAAAGCTACTTTAATTTCACTGTTCATAGAAATAAGTGGCCGTTTGTCATGGAATATTAAAATACAAAATGTGATGTCTTTTTGTCTGAAAGTTTTGGTATGTAGTATGTGCTCTTGCCAGCTGTGTTATACAGTGTTTTCACTAAAGAATTTGAACACAGACTCTAACATAATACTAAAAAGGTGTTTGTTATTTTATCCATTAGCTGTAAAATATTATAAAATTTATAAACTTTTAATTAAGGAAACAGGGTGCTAAAAATAAAGACAAAAACAAGGAGGGTAAGATAAGGCTGCACAGCAATATATATGAAAGGAAAAATACATTTTTGGTGTTATGTGGATATCATTTCATCCTCATCCTGTACCATGATTGTAGGAATGTAGCTAAGAATCTCAATATTTGAAGCAGATTATATGCAGCAACTCTAAGTAGCATAGAGAGAATTATGCAAGTTCGGTTTATACTGGAAAATAATAGTTGATTTGTTGATTTTAGATTTCTCATAACTTATGAATGTAGTTTTCTGAAAAAATGGCTACTTAAGACAAATCAGTTTGGAAGTGGTGGCAAATTAAATTAACATTAATTGAATTGTGAACCATTGTTGCTCCTGAGAGGTGCTCTGTAAAACTGTAGAGTGTGATCCTATGCTACTGAAACCAACGGTAGCTTTTCTGTCGATTTAAATAGGTGTGGGGTTTGGCTTAGAGCCACTTGAGTAACACTGTGGGCCCGTGGCATGGTTAGAAATGTTTTGTTTAATCCCTTTTGGTGTTAAAGTAGGATTAAAAATAATAGAAATTCTCTGAAGAGTAGGCTGAACTCCTCGACATGTTTGGTTTGAGATGCTAGGTAAGATGAGTTTCATTTTTTTTAAATTATTATTCAGGTAGAATGCTAGCGCGCATATACATATATATATATATATGTATGGGTTTTGTCATTATTTTCATCCTTAGCTGTAGGGCAGTTAACAAAATTCACAAGTAATTATACCTCAACAATTTCCTAATGTTAGATAGTTTACATTAACACATAGGAGACAATATTATCACTGTACAGGCAGCCATAAATTTAGAGCAGTAATTATGCAATTTTGATTCTTGGTTTTAACCAGAAAGTCTAAGAATAAAATGTCACATGTTCAGACTTACAAAATCCTTATTTCAGTAAGTAAACAACTGCAGTCTAATGTGTGATTCTCTTTAATCTCATAAAAAGTTTTGGAGTAGCTAAAATTGTTAGAGTCAGGAATTTAACTCAAGATACGCTTTATGTTATAATCACCTGCTAACTTTACATACTCCTTATGAAATGTAATTCCAGAGCGTCACTTATGGAGCTATATTAGTAAGAACTGAAGATGTACATTAAATATTAGGGGTTTTTTAAGTCTTCTGTCATTAGCTTTTTATTACTGGTATATTCACAGTTCTGGAGCAGAATAAGTCTCTTTCCTCAAGCTTCATTTACATTTTGTAGCTGGATTTGGTATAATTTTTTACTATCGCACCTATTTCCTTGTTTTGCATGCATCTGGCAGCTTTCTGGATTTAAAACTCTGGAGTCTCATGAGGTGAAACCTTGTCCATTTGTAATATTCTTCAGCATGGCCTTTTTTTTAACAAAGAGAAATATTTTGACAGGTATTAAAGAGGGGAACTGTCTTCATCCTAAATACAGCCTCTTAAGTTTTCCAGTAATGTATGCATAAAATGACTTTGAATACTCTTGACTGCAGCTTCTTTTTTTTTTTTCCTGTTTCCTGAGCAAATAGGTGTCATGAAGTTGAACTCAAGGGTCACAGTAATGAAAATGTGAATCTGGGTTGTTTGTCCCTTACTGGACAATGTGACGGTTTTCAGTTTGATGAAGAGAAAAGAGTATTAAGGATTTTTTTTTTTCCCTGAAAAAAATCCCTGTATTTAGCACATAGGTGATTTACTTTCTCATTTGAAAGTAAAGGTGAAATAAAAAGAACTTGCTTTTGCAAGTTGCACATGTAATCAAAATTACTATTGTGGCCAAGAACTGAAATAAGTATTGTTTCTCTATCTGAGTAGCATTCTGAAAAGTGATATAAAAGGCATGGTTTTATTTTTCTGGCAAAGTTCTGAATGATAGGCCTGTGATATTTTATTATCTAGAAATGCGGACTAGTCACAACAGTTCAATTGACTTAAAGGTTCCATGTGCTTGATTTCTATTGTTTTAATTCTTTTTTTCCTCTGTAAAAGTTTTAGACACCCTGTTCATACTAACTCATCTGAGCTTCAGTCATATCTTGTTACATACTAGTAAGGCAGAAAGATCTGATGTGAAATCATCAGACTATGAAACAAGAAATCTAGTTTATCAAGTTGTCATTGTAACGTATGCATTCTTAGAACCCTTTTTGACTAAGTAATTGAAAGCACACTTGAAAAAAAATTCTCAATGTGCTAAATACTGTGGTTTTTTTATTTCAGACAAAATCCGGAAACTACCTTTGAAGTGTATGCAGAAGTAACCTATTCAGGAATCAGTTGCATTGGGAAAGGTACTGTTTTGCACTGTAATTCTGCCTATTTATTGGCTAAAACTATTCTTAAGAACCACATATTGTGAGATAATGAAGTACACTTAATATTATGCTGTTCTAGCTTTTAAAGATATCTTAATCACTGGTTCTGTGGGATCTTTTACAGTTAGGACTAATAATGAGAAATTCCTGCCTCTGTCCCTGATTATGGGCAATTTTCTGATTTCTTTGACTATTTTGCCTTTTTTGTCTTTTAAAATAGAAGTAACTCTTACTTCATTAGGTTGAAAAAGTAAACGCATATTCAAATTCATATTTGCTGCTCATATACGGAATGGGTAGTTTTAAAACAAAAAATACTGTAAAACTTCTTGCGTGGGATTTCTTTTTACTTCTTTCTTACTTGTCTACAGAAGTATTTTTATCTGTTCCCAGAATTCTTCCTTTGAGCAAATGATTTTATCTAGAAATAAGGCATGAACGCAGCTTATGATTTAGTTAACTATTTTTACCAAACACTGTTACTGAGCCATAATTATAAAAGTATTTTTCTGTAATATTATTTCTGACAAGTATTCCTATGTTTATGCTAGAGAAGTCCCATAACTGCTGACACCAACATGTAAGTATACTTGTGAATTTTTGATTGCACTTTTTTCTAAACCTGAGGAACTTGATCAAATAAGCAGGAAAAGCAAAGGTTGAAGTTTGTAATCCCAGAATTTAGTTCAAGGTACTGTTTTGAGAGATCAGTCTCTAGAATGTTAGGAAAAGGAGGGATGTCAAAAATAAATAATTATGATTAGTCAATATATGCTGAAGTAATATTTCTTTTATGAAATGATCATATGTGTATTGTATATATGGTATAATGAACCAATAGAAGGGATTTTTATATTTTATTGACTGGAAAGCCACTTATCTCCTTTTATGTCTGTATTTGTTTGTTACAATCAGCAAAAGTCAAATAGCTGCAACTCTTCCCTGTACTGCCAAAGCCTCCGTAGGAGTTGTAACTGGAATACAGTTTTGGCTTGTCCTACTGCTATATGCCATCACGACTATTTGATGTAACTGCAGGAGCCCTTTTAATAACTAGTCTTTGTTTCTGCACATCTGACCTGGATTCCAGTGCCAGAAAATCTGAACAAATTTGACCATAAACATTACATTGTACAGTACTAGTGTCTGGGTATAATCTTCTCTTTGAAGTTCGTTTGCATCCCCCTGGAGGGATTAATTCCCTGCTGTGGGAAGGTGGGTTAAAAAGCACGGAAACTACTTTACAGGTTTTTAATTGGAGAATTTAGTATACATTTTGTTCTATAAACCAACTGATTCTGTGGGAGTTTCACTTAGTTGTGTTTTTAGGTTTGTTGTATGCACTTGTAGGTGCAAAATCTTCAGAAATTGTTTTCAGTGAGTAAAAAAAAATTGTTTTAATAATTGTTTTTACAACTCATATATTCTGAAGTTATTAATTCTCTCCGAATAATCTTTTAAAATATTTTTTCCAACCAATTTTTTTATATATTTGAGGGCGCCTCTTAGGAGGTCTTAGAATTGTGTATCCCCAAATATTCTGTCCTGTTCTAAATGAAGGTTGTTTGGTTCTCTGCAGCGTCAACTGTATTTAACAGCTATGCTGTATCCCAGGCAAATCACCATTGTAGAAATATAGACCTAGAGACCTCCACATAGTCTTTTCTACTTCATGACTAGCTGTTCTATGCCAGAAGACCAAGAATATGTATCAACTGGGTTTTTTTGCAGTCAGGGAATGTATGTTACATGGCAAGGAGCAGTTACTGTTAAGAAAAGCAAAATGTATAAAAGGTGTATAAGGAAGAAATTATCAGGCATGTTTAAAAAAAACCTATTTCTTCCCATGTAATGGATCCCAAAATTAACTAAGACAACTGTTTCTGAAGTTCCTGTCTAGTATAATAGTGCTATTGATCACTTACAATGCTTTTAATTCTTATATCAATCTTCTGACATGGTCTTGAGAAGAATGAATTGCTCCAAAGCTGTAACAGTCCTAGTGTGGGAGATTCTGGCTTGTGGGATGGTAAAACATGCCTCTATTTTGTTTTATTCAAAAGTTTGTGTAGCAAAGGATGTTTTCCATGTGCCTGTTAAATCAACTGCAATTAAAAACTTTAATATATTTCATAGTTCACTTGCATCTTGCTGAAATGGGAGATACTGACTTGTGTTATTAACTACTGATAGACAATTGTACATTCAAGTAGCCTTATTACTCATGTAATTGTTAACAATCTTGCATTAAATGTTCATTTGGTTAATAACTTTTGAAATGAATTAAAGCAGCATTATTCATTGACTATCATATAGAAGGCTCCCTCTTAGTTACCAAGATGGTTGACTGCAGAAGGAAAAAAGTCTGTTCTGGGCTCCAAGAAAGACATCAATAAACTGGAACAAGTTCAGTGGAGGGCCACCAAGACGGTGAGCGAGCTATGGCACTTGCACTGTGAGGAGAGGTTGAGAGTGCTGGGCTTGTTCAGCCTGGAGAAGACTTCAGGGAACCTGAATAGCAGCCTTCCATACCTATGAGGAGTTCATCAAGATGAGATATCCAGGCTCTTTACAGTGGTGCATGGCAGGAGGACAAGAGGCAGTGACATAGACTGAATCAAGAAGTGTTCTGACTGAATATTGGGAATGTGCTCACCATGAGGACAGTCAAGTATTGGACCAGGTCACTCAGAGAGGTTGTGCAATCTCCATCCTTAGAGGTTTTCAAGACGTGACTGGATCACACCCTGAACAACCTGGTCTGACCTCACACCTGGCCCTTCTTTGAGAGGAGGTTGGACTGGAGACCTCGCAAGGTCCCTTCCAGCCCAAATTATCCTCTGATCCTAAGATTTGATTCCTAGAAATGTAAGCTTCAGGAACATCTGGAGGATGTTTTGTACTCTTAAGGTATGAAGAGAAAACTTAATTGAAACCAAAAAAGTTGAAAAAGCAAACATTGTTTTATTCTAATCCAGGCAGAACTCTGCCAAACCACAATGCAATGTGTGAACTGAGAAAGGAAGTGATCACTGGATCAGATGAGCTGTGGTCTCTCTGTCCTTTCCCCTCTAGATTGTGTAGAAATAATCATAGAATCATAGAATCATTATTTGGAATAATCATTATCCATTATTATGGAAAAGACCTCTAAGATCATCGAGTCCAACCGTTAACCCAACACCACCATGCCCACTAAACCATGTCCCTAAGCGCCTCATCTACACGTCTTTTAAATACTTCCAGGGATGGTGACTCAACCACTTCCCTGGGCAGCCTGTTCCAATGTTTAACCACTCTTTCAGTAAAGAAATTTTTCCTCATGTCCAATCTAAACCTCCCCGGCACAACTTGAGGCCATTTCCTCTTGTCCTAAGATCCTGATCATCTGTGCTCAGCATTGGTAATTTGTATATTTCTGGCACATGAAGTCTTTGGTACATTATACGATTCCAGCATTCAGTCATATCTAAAAGCTGTGTTTGTGTTCTTCTTTGTTATATTCATAGATCTTACTTGGGGACTTAACGGATTTTTCTTACTGGGTCACTTTATGTAAATGTGGTATCTTTGTTTTGAGAACTGTGAAGCAAGATAGCTGCAACTGTGACTAGCAACATTAAGATGAATATTTGTTATTAAGAAGATATTTCCTTAGGAGAAGACAATTACCAAACCAGTTTTTTGCCTTACGATTGTGTTTTCCGTGGAAGCTGGGAATTCCCCTTAGCTAATTGAATCTAAGTTAGTGTGTGTGGTTTGGTGGTTGTTTTTTTTTTTTTAAAGAACATTTGACTTCCTAAAATTGAATGAAAATACAAAACTGCTTTTATCTTAACTTTGTTCCCACTCTTTTTTTTTTTTTCTTTTTTAAAATATTTTTACTTTTTTTTATTTGGGCTGTCTGGAATTCAGAATTTCTTCCCTTAATACTTCAATGATGCATTCATTCATGCTCTACATGTTCTACTTTTCAGTTTTATCAAATAGCACTGTTCTCTTGTCCATACCCTCTTCTGATAAAATGTTGATGTCTTCTCACCAAAAGTCCAGAGCAGCAAAATAGAATAGAAAGAATGGAGTCTGCATCTTTACAGTGACAGTACATGGGAGTTACCTAGTGAGAAATCTGTGTTGTGTGTGTCAAGTATAAGTATGTCAAGCATAGGAACTTTGCAAGTCTAGTGCTTCTCACCAATTCCCACATGCTTATTTCAGGAAGACAAGAAAAAATAGTAATGGTTTTATTTAAAAAATGGAATATTATTACAGGGAAAATATTGACTAAAGCTTATAGTGTTGATACTTTGATTCTTTCCTTTGTAGTATCAGGTAAGTACTGGGTAATGACTGTGACTCAGAGGAAAACGTGCAGTTCCAAGGCTGATATGGAAGCCTGGCTAATAGGCTGACTTAGGTTAAATAGTCTTAACAGGTGCCTTTTGTGCAGTGGTGTAATTGGGATGGAGTAAGATGCTAATACTGTACAGATGGGCACAACAAAGCCAACTCTTTGACAAGTATGGCTGGTAACTTTGGCTTTCAACCATTCCAGGTGAATAGAGAGATTGTTAGGAGTTAAAAATTTGATTACTAAGACAAATTCTAATTCACATATAAGGTTTTAATATTCTGTGGCCTATGTGTGTGGGTTTTGTGTCTTTGCCTTTATGCACTTTAGTGCTGTGTAGTTCTGGCAGTAGGAGAATTTCTAACTTTCCTTATCACTTAGATATAAGGAGGCCATCTGCCTCACTAAATCCAGGTGTATTGCTTTTAAATAAAACACAACCAAACAAAAAGTTTTTAGATTTATCATGATTATTTTGGAGGTTTCACTGATAGGAGTTAACTTTGCTTCAGGAATTAAATAAAATAGACCCTCCAAAATCATAGATAGAGGGGAATAATAATACAGCGTATTGCCCAGCAGATACCAGTAATATATTCTGGACATCATCTATAATTGCATTAGT